ATGGGAATGAGTCTCAGAAAAGGGGCCTGTAAGGGGTGGTCCCAGCAAAAGGAATAGCATATGAGAAGCATGGGACACACCAGGACCATTGGCCTCAGTCTGGCCACCCCTCTCAGGAGTGTCAGGGGGAGCTTGAGGAACCTACCCTGCATGCCCTGCCAGGAAGGGCCCCCGCCACCCCGTGTTCTAAAGAGATGGCCATGGCACGCGGGACACAGTGGAGGAGAGGGATCTGGGCAGGACTCCAGGAGAGGTGGGGCTGGGTTCAAGAGCTGGGTCAGAGAAGCCAGGACAGGATTTGGTGCTTGCTGGCGGTGGGAGGCATGCAGGCACCTGGCACCCTTTCTGAGGTGCGCTTTTCGGTGTAGTGTCCCTGGGACAGGCAGCCTCGGGGCTGGGATACCTTCTGGCTCAGACCAGTGCACTCTGAGGGCCTATGGGTCACAGAGGTAGGAGGAGCCTGGGAGTCAGGGCTGGGCCCCGCCCGCCACAGGCCCATCCCAGGCTGGCAAGGAGGCCCACTACTTTTGCCCGGCCCGAGAACAGTAACCTTCACACACTTCAGGGGCCCGCCCAGGCCAAGGGTGTTGTAACCACCATCCGTGCCAGACGCTGGGGCCAAGTTGCTGGAGGTTTAATCACTGTCACAACCCTAACCACACACAGGCAGAAACCCCACTCCGGGCCAAGAGAGCTGTGTGCAAGGCCTTCCCCGAGGGTGCATAGGCAAAGAAGACGAGAGGCGCCGTGGGGGCCGCCTGGGCCCTCATGTCCGGGCGGGCGCCTGGCCAGCCCCAACGAGGGGCCACCATGGAGCATGATTTATACCTGATTCCCACCCTCTGCTGAGGCTGGCCAAGAACGCAGCCCCACTAGTAGCTGGGTTTGAAGGCAGGCTGTATTTCCTGGGGCTCCCTTCTGGTGACCAGCAAAGGCCCCCTTCCAAGAGAAACGAATCGAGTCGGGAGTAGGACAGCAGCCACGCACAGGAGGCCCTGTCTCAGCCCCATGTGCCAGGCTGACAGTGGGAGCCGCGTTGGCAGTGCTGTTTTCAGGGCAATGGAGGGGAGACTCCAAGTGGGGCAGTCACCGTGAAGCCAAGCACTCCTCCTAGACCAGGCCCAGGGGTGTCTGCCATTCTGGTGGGGAGACATGAAAAGCGAGGGAGCAGATTTGTCTAGGAGCTGAACGGGGCAAGGGGGAAAATCGCCAGGGCAGTGAGCGGGAAAGGCTTCTCCAGAGAGGCAGCATCTTCTATGCTGAGCCCCCAAGCTGGGGGTCACAGGCCAAGGACGGGCACAGGCAGCAGCAGGGGGTCTCACGTGGCCTGACCGCGGTGTGCTTGGCCTCTGGAGGGTGCTGGGGGAAGGAAAAGTTGGGTGGGTGGGCTTATCCTGGCCTCATGGCTTGGTTCTTCCCAAGAAGGGCAGGGCAGCACACGTCAAGTGCTGAAACCAGGGTCTGCCTGGTCATAGTGATAGCTGAATAGTGGCTACTGCTACTGTTTGGGGATGCGGCCCTCGAGACCCCCAACAGTACTAGATACTGGCCAGCCTTCTAGGACTGGCCTAGGAAGCTCTTTGGCGAAGGCTCATGGAGGAATGGGAGCTTGCCCAGGGACAACAGCATTCTAGAGACCTGGTCTCTTTTTCTGGAAGGCCAGACTCTCAGGGAGAAGCCTCACCCCACCTCTACCCTCAGGGGTGCGCACTGGGTCAACCAAAGTGTCACGTGTGTCTAGAACTGCTCCAGACACCAGCCGTAGCAACAGGAAGTGCCTCAAGGATGCCTGGGCTCCACCCCCATGTTGTGTCATAGCCAGACTCCAGACCCCAGGACGGCCCCCACCTCAGTGCCTCACAGGCTGTGACAGATATAGACAGGGCTGCTGTCGGGAGCTGGGTTCTGAGCAGGGTCTCCCTATCTCAACTGGCCGGGTTACAACCCCACTGCTGCTCAAAGCCCTGCCCAACTGCGGGGCATCCATCTCTGGCAAAAGGAGCCCCAACACAGGGAACTGCAGCCCAGTGAGTGCCTGAGGGGTGACGGCCTGTGTCCTAAGGTGGGCTCTGCCCATTCACTCTGAGCCCCTTGTCTGCCCTCTGCCAGCCACAGAGGTTCTGAGCCCTGAGTCTCATGGCCCAGCCCTCAGCGGCTCAGGCCTGCAGGCTCCTCAGGATGCAGAAGCCCCCATGCTCCACTCCTGCGGCCACAGTCCTCAGGGATGGGCAACGTAGAGGGCAGCTTCTGGCTGACTTGCTGGAATGCCCTTGGGAGTTAAGGCTGCCCTGTTCCATGGGGCTGAACATGCCCGGATGGTGCCAGAGCATCAACCACAGTGATCAGGGCCTTCACCCTCCCCGCCTGGCCCCCAGTGTCCTAGGGCCACCAGTCTTGGCCAGCACAGGCCTGCCTGAATCAGCCCTCATATGGTCAGGCTTCCTCACTTCCTGGACCGAGGGTCCTTGTCTGGGACTCAGGCTGAGTCTGGAGAAGGGGCTCGATCCCCTTGAGAGAGGCCGAAACAGAGTTCCTCAGGGCCCGTGGCGTGGCACGCCCAGTGCCGGCCGAGCTCACCAAAGTAGCTGTCTCTAGGTGTCCTGTGTTGCAACCCCTAAGTGTCACCTTCCCAGGTGGGCTGAGGACTGGCTCTGGGTTCACACCCCTGAGCCTAGAGCCTGCGTGGCCCCCAAAGCTCTGTGCTTAGGAGGCTATCCATAGTGACCTTTGCCCCAAAAGCATGGGGCAGAGCTGGGCTGATTGGACTGGCTGCCATGGAGATGGTGCTGTTAGCAGCAGGCGGGGCCACAGACCCCTGCCAGCCCGCCATGAGGCTGTGCCAGCTGCACCTTCACCCCGGAAACCTTTGCTCCCTGAGGCAGTTCCAAGAGTGGTTCAGCCCCATTCAGAGACATGCAGGGATGTCCCTCTTGCACAAGAGGAAAAGCTAGGACAGAAGCTCTGAAGCAGCATTTGGGCCTGAGCCTTGGGCCTAGGGCCCACTGAGGCCGCCTCACAACCACTACTGGGGAGACATGCTTTTCTCATCCCGATGCCCCGGGTCTTGCTGGGCTCCCCAGGCCCCAGGAGTACACACTGCTCAGAGGTGACCTGGCATGGGCTAGAGAATAGACCTGGGCTGGCCCCTGGCTGTCGTGTCAGGAGCTGAGCCCTGAGGACAAATGGAGAGCCAGGTGGGGCAGCCTTGCTGTGGCACCAGGCCCTGCACAGCCCTGGCTCACCACAGCCCTCCTCTGAGCCATAGGTGTCTGGTGGCCTGACATGCATCGCCTGGCTGATCGCATCCACCTGGAGGAGCTGGCCCGCATCGGCATCCTGCAGGGCAGCGTAGACGCCATGGTCCAGGCCCACCTGGGAGCCGTGTTCATGCCTCACGGACTCGGCCACTTCCTGGGCATCGACGTGCACGACGTGGGAGGTTACCCTGAGGTCAGTGCGGACACATAGGCCAGAGGGGACTGCCTGTGGGCTGTCACTGAGCTCGGCTTGCTTCAGTCCAGGGTGACGCTCCCTCTGGTACACAGAGGTGGGAGGGAAGGAATCAGGGTCTCAGCACGCCACCTGCCAAGGCTCTGATCAGGGCAGGGGCAGGCCTGCGAGCGTGCTTCAGTGGTTGCCTCCACAGGACCCAGGTGTAGAGGTGGGGGCCTGCACACTGGGCCCTAGGCTGGGAGCTGGATAAAGTCTGCCTAGAAGAGTGGAAGGAGGCCAGTGTGCAGTGCACAGGGTCCCCCTGTGGGCCACAGCTGGGTCTCACAGAACTGTACTGCACCCTTCATGTCCTCCCGCCTCTGGTGTTGAGATGGCAGTGACTCACCTGGACCCTCACTCGCCCCACAGCAGACCCTTTGCTGTGGGCCTGTGGGCCCTCTGCCCCGGGCCCCTGAGCAGCACACCTGTGACCCAGCAGCCTCCTCCGCCCCAGGCACTCTCAGACCCTCAGCAGGGGAAGGAGGCTTATGAGGGTGTTTCTAGACAAGGTGTCCCACCCCCTCCTCTCACCAACCCTCTGAGGACCACCCAGAGGACGCTGGAGGGCCTCAGGAGTCCCTGGCAGGCAGGTGCTGCAGCCTTTCTGGGCCCCAGCAGTGGGGGGAGCCCGTCCCGTGCCTGGCCTGGTGCCCAGGGCACAGGGGGTGATTGTGCAATCCATGTGTGCCCTGGGCTAGCCGAGACCAGGCTTGGCCTCTTGGCTGCGGGGTATTTTGAAAGCACTAAGAACCCTTTTTTGGGGGGAAAAATTGCTCAAGAGAAGCATTATTATTCAATTTTTTTCCCTCAAGTGTAAACAGTTAAATTTGGAGAAACAAAATCAGTTTTAATTTCCTAATTCCTATCCATCCCATTGTGTGCAAGGAGCCAAGAGCAGGGCCTTCCAGACATTGTTCGCTGAGGTTCGTTATTCATTAGTCGCCAAAGCACTTTTTTTCCACCAGAGAAAATTGGCAGCAAACTGTTTTCATCTTTTCCAGTAAGAAGTCCTTTGTGCTCGGAGTCTATTCTTCTGACAGATAAACACTGGGCAAAAAATATGGCTTTTCCTATAAAAGTCATTTGTTTTATTTCAGGCCTACAGACACATCTGGGTCTCTGCTCGGATCCCAGGACAAGTTGAGGCCATTGAGCCCTCGGCCTGGGCAGACCCCACCCCAACCCCAGCAGGACTACAGTCCCTGGGCCAGTGAGCCTGAGGCTTGTGCTGTCCCTGTCAGGGGCATGCCATCCACTCGGCCCAGCCTGCCTCCTTCCCTTGGTCGTGCTTTGGCTTTTGGCTGGCCTCCCAGGTGGCCCGACCTGTGCCCTGTTCCTGGAGGGCCCCACAGGGCAGACCCTGAGAACTAACACTCTGAAGGGGTAATAGGTGGTGGGTTGGGGCAGGCATGTCCTCTACACACACCCCACCCCCACCCTGGTCCCTTCCAGTCCTCTCCACCCCCAGTCTCAGTACTGGTTCTATAACTGGCTGGGGGGGGTGGGGGCACGTTTCCATGCTTCAGCAAACCTGCCTCCTCCTGTACCCCGATGGAGCAGCTCGGCACGGGCCTGTAAGTGGAAGAAAGACACAGCTTTGTCAGGTCGCTGCCTTCCCCAGCTGTGGGGAGAGGAGACAGGCACTTAGGGTGTGGCACGAATGAAAGGAAGGAGGTGGCAGGAGCAGGAAAATCTTGCAGCACAGACCCTAGAACCCCCAGCTCTGAGAAGCGACTTCTGGACAGAAGACCAGCCCTGCCCACCCCCAAACACCTTCCATCTGAGCATAGGAATAATGTTTCGAGGGGGGCTCTGCCTGCCAGGATAGGATACCCTGCTCTCCTCCTGCCTAGTCTCCAGGAAAAGTCCCCAGAGAGAGTCCAAAGACCACACCGCCAGGCATCTGTGCCCGGAGCATGCCCCAGAGGGTCATGCTGCCTTTATGTCTCTTCATCACCTCCGTCTTGGCCTGCTCACAGCAGGTCAGGGTGGCCGCACTGCCCTTGGGGATTCAGTCACAGCCTTCCCTGTACCCAGCTGTGGAGGCTAAGCCAGCCTGTTTCTGGTTACCTTATGTGAACCACTAATTGAAGTCTGATGTCCTTGGCCCCCAAACAGTCAGAAGTGACAGCTCTGTCTCCAGCAGCTGGGCAGGCAGCTCAGATCCTGAGCATAAAGCTTGCTGGCTGCCCACTCTCCGAGGCTCCGAACAGACCAGATGGGTGTCGCCCTCGGGGAAGCAGGGTCTCTTCTGCATGTGCCCCAGGCCGCTGCCCCATCAGCTATGCTGGATGAGTGACTAGGCCCAGGCCGAGTATGCGCTGGGGATGCAGAGGTGGGGTGGCAGGCATGGGGCCTTGGCAGGCAGCAGCTGCCACTATTGCTCATTCCTCCTCCAGGCCTGGGGGCCGTTTCCAAGGGTCAGCTGTAGGACCAGAGTGCTCCCTAAGCCATAAGCCATGCACACACAGATACGAGTGCATTTGCACATATCCGGGCCACTACTGCAGCGAGAAGGCCGTCCTGATGACAGCACCTGTCCTTCCTTGACAGTCACTTGGAAAACTAGGGGACCTAGCCTACGGGAGGACCAGCACTTCTGGGGCCAGTTTCCACTTGAGCTGCCTGGAAGGAAAGCAACGGCTCAGGAGATCATGCCACTCTCCTTAAGAGCTTTTTTGGCTTCGCTGGTTTGGCTTCTACCATTCTCCTGGCCAGGAGAGGCCTGGGTGAGAGTAGACACCCAGCCAGCCCCCTTGGCCTCCCTGGCAATTTGCCCTGGGTGTCCACAGGACACCTGAAGGTGGTTCTGAGGATAGTGAGGGTCTAGGGCCACTCAAAATCTGGGGGTACATGGGTCTCACCAAAAGTGCCCATGCCCGGCACAACAGAAATGATTCTGGGCTGGAGACTCCCGTTACTCTACAAGGCCGGGGCCAGCCCTCATATGCCCACTGTCTCCCATGAGGCAGCAGCACCAGTGACCAGTGCTGGAGTTACGGCCTCATCTCTCTTGTCCCCACAGGGTGTGGAACGCATTGATGAGCCCGGTCTGCGGAGCTTGCGCACAGCACGGCACCTGGAACCTGGCATGGTGCTGACTGTGGAGCCAGGCATCTACTTCATTGACCACCTCCTGGATGAGGCCCTGGCGGACCCAGCCCGCGCCTGCTTCTTTAACCAGGAGGTCCTGCAGCGCTTTCGCAGTTTTGGTGGGGTGAGTACCCATGGGCCCCACATCTTGCGCCCAAAATGTCCACTGCAGCTCTGTTGCCTTTGTCCCAGAGTAGGGGCCCTGGTGGGAGGAATGAGTCTTGACTTCTTCACATGAGAAGGGATGGGCCCCCCTTTTCTTGTGAGCTAGCACCAGATAGGTGCCTCACCCCTCAAGAGAGTCTATAAAACCCATTTATTCCAGGCCTCCCATTTACCTGGTAAGAATAGGGTGAGCAAGTGACACAAGCTGATGGCCACCTGGAAGGAGCCTTCCTCTAGGTGGTCATCCACAGTGGCTTTGAGACCAGCCCCTTCCATTCCAGGAAGCTTCTCCCACTCAGTGGTGATGTGGGGCCAGCCTCTAGCCTAGTACAGAGGCCAGCTCAGTAATGGTAAGTGTTGTTGGTCTGACCCAGGTCCGCATTGAGGAGGACGTCGTGGTGACCAACAGTGGCATGGAGCTATTGACCTGTGTGCCCCGTACCGTGGAGGAGATTGAAGCATGCATGGCAGGCAGTGACAAAGCCTTTACCCCCTTCTCTGCCCCAAAGTAGAGCCAGCCAGGATGCCCAGCAGGACTGGGGGCCTGGCCTTGCAGCCTCTCTTCACAATTGGCAACCTCTCTTGCTCCTCCACTGCAAGCTCTGCTCAGAAATCAGATCCTGGAATCAACAGCTGATCATACCAGATAGTGTTGTTTCCTGGAGGGGAAAAATTCTTTATTAACTTTCTGCAAGATCACACCTTTACTCTGTTATGTATGTCACTTAAATGGCAGTGACTTAACTTGCTGATTGAAAATAATCCTATTTAGTAGCAACTAAAATATGTCATCTATATACTTTTTCTCAGGAAAAGTGCCTTCCAGTGTTTTCTTTCAAAAATCAATATGCAGAATAGAATTTGCAATAAAAAGTTTTTAGAAAAGGCTCTTTGTGAACAGCTCCTTGTCCTTTATTCCTCTGTAGACAAGCACATGGGTACCTGTGGACTCTGTAAAGATGGCTCACCTAGGGTCAGCCTCCAGTCAGTTCTCAGGAAAACAGGGGTGATGGCACAGGCCCTCCAACCTCTGCTTTTACGTCTGGCCAGGTCACCCAGGTACTCTGCTGGGCTTTGGAGGCACCCTGCCACTTGCTGCAAGGTTTCCCAAACCTAACACGTATCAGAACCACTGGACACTTGGTCCGCCAATCCCAGGGCCCACTCTTAAGCCTCCTGAATTAGAATCTCCAGGGGCGACACCCAGGCATTTGAATATTTAACAAGGACCCCCTAGAACAGTGGTCCCCAACCTTTTTGGCATCAGGGACCAGTTTTGTTAGTTTTTCCATAGATTTGGGGGGGGGTGTTTAGGATGATTCAAGTACATTTATTGTGTACTTTATTATAATATATAATGGCATAATTTAACAGCTCACCATAGTGAAGGATTACTTGGAGCCCTGAGCTGGTTTTCTTGAAACTAAATGGTCCCATCTGGGAACTCCTATGAGAATCTAATGCTACCACTGCTCCAACAGTATGCCCGCTCAGGTGAGGTGGCAACATGAGCAAGGGGGAGTGGCTGTAAACACAGATGAAGCTTCACTTGCTCTGCTCACCTCCTGCTGTGCAGCCCGGTTCCTAATAAGCCATGGACCAGTACTCAGGGTTCAGGACCCCTGCCCTAGAGGCTCCTGATGCACAAATTTGAGAACTACTCTTGGGCAACATGGCAGTAGAGCTTGGTGCCAGGCTCTATCCTATCACTATGAACATAGCCGGGGGTTTGGGATGAGGGGAGCCAACATGTGAAAGGTCCTGGGCACTCAGGGAGGTTGGTGGATACCATGCACTGTGCCTTTGGCACAGGTGAAAAGGCAAACTGATGACATATAAGCATCGGATACAGTTACTGCTGCAAAGCTAGACTTCTGAAGGGGGAGAGTGACAGCACTTGAGGTGCAGCTATTAGGTCATTGGGAAAGTCATGACGTATTTTTCTATGCAAAAATGTGCCATGACTTTTCCTAACCACCCAATATTTAGAATGTGAGTCTTGCAGCGATCCCTCGGCCTGAACTTTTCACAGGGGAGCCTACTAGTAAAACTAGCATCTATCAGAGACTGCCACCATGGCATAGGAGAATGAGCTTATTCCTCCCCTATTTGTGGACACCACTGGTGTTCCCTAAGCATAAGCCTTCAGGGCAGAGCAGTGCCTGGTTCCTGCCCGTGGCAGAATACAAGTCCTCTCCTTTGCCTGTCCAGTTTCCCCACAGTCCCCACAACTGCCCCAACCCTGGATCTGCTTCTGGAATTCTTCACATCATTCTAGGTCTGTCTCCTCACAGTGCTCTCATCTGGAAGTTTCTGAGCCAAGGTGAAGGGCAAGTCAGAAATGAAACCATGATGGGGTATAAAACTCTAAAGCTCAAGGTAGAGGTTTAAAGAAGTCACCACAGTATAAACCGATTTTTGTACACTAGTACACACAAAGTGCTTATGTGGCGGTGGTTGTAATAAAAGCCAATTCTTTTATTTGCTTCTTAGATTTTTAACATCTTTAAGGTTTTCTACTCAAACAGGTATCCCCTAAGCCATCCACTGGTGACACTGAGCAGTTTGTGTGATGTGATGACTGCGTCAGGTGAAGCATTCGCCAAGCATTTTTCTTCCTGTCGTGCCTGACAGTCATGTTCCAGTTGTAGGATTTCAATTTCTCCCACTTCTGGGACAGGACCAAAGTTAGGTTGAAATGTTAAAAGAACAGTTTAGTTTTGCTAATTAAGAAACTCGGCTAGGACCAGCAGGTGACGTGGTAGAGAAGGTGCTGGATTCCCAAATGAATGATGGTTTGAATCTTGGGCCTGGCATTTTGAAAAATCACACTGGGTACATGTGCATGAGTGTGTGCATTCCCAAAATCCTAAGAATGTCTCTCTCCAGCAGGCACAGAGCAAGCGTATGTGCCCTATGGCAATGATCATAAAAAAAGAAATGTAGCTAAATATATCACACATTTTTCTCCTTCCTTCCCTTCAGATATCCCCTTCCACATAAACATTTTCTGATTGTCAAGCAAAGGGGTGAAAAAGAACAAGCAATCTCAGTAACTAAACACTTTTTGCCTAAGAAGGACACTAGGAACATAGATAACTCATTTGCCCTGGATCAGATCACAGGGCATTCTTCAAAGGTGTGGATGGCTAGTATCTACCTATTCGACTTCATTTCTGAAGACGTACCAACTTGAGATCTCCCCCCAACCTCTGCAGAAATGAGTAGTTTCAGAAATGCATTAGGCTTTCCCAGAACGCTGTAGCACTAAAAGTTTCTCAGAGCTGTGGACTGTCTAGATATTCATCCAATAATCGAGAATCTGCCCTGTGCCAGTGCAGTAGAAAAACATGATCCCTGCTCTCAGTCTGTGATCTGCTAACGAAGGCTTCTTAAACATGCACAAAGACATTGTCCTTGAACATTGAAAAGTGCTCAGGAAAATAACAGGGTTAACGTTGTGCAGAGAACCAGAGGGCTAAGACAAGAAAGGCTATCAGTAAAGAGGAGAAGCTGCATTCCAGACACAAGGAGCTACCCTGGGAAGGAGTCAAAAGAAAGCTCAGCAAAGTCCTGGGACCAAAGCAATTCAGGAAGGGGAATATAGGCAAATTTAGCTGCAAGACACAGTGGAGTCATATCACAAGGGGATTGGGTCTCACTCTAGGCACAGTGGGGACCAACAAAATGGTTCCAGAGAACTAGCAATGGCTCTGCTGTCCAGGAAGGCTAATGGTGGTTGGGGCACTGGACTCCCACATGGCTGACAATTCGAGTCTCAACCAGGCAGCTTGATTTCTCATTATCTCTCTCTGGTGAGCACACATGCCATATAACAAACTTAAGAATAGCAATAATAATAAGTAAAATTAAATAATTCTTAAAAAGAGCCAATCACCAAATTCCAGCAAGAGAGGAGGATGGCACTGCACAGGGCAGGGCTGGGAAGGTAAAGCTGATAGGTTCAAGAGATACATTTAGGAGGCTGAACAGTCAGGTGGCGTGGTGGCTAAGGCACTGGACTCCCATGTAGTTGACCGTGGTTTGAGTCCTGAACCCAGGGGTTTAAACTCACACCAAGTGCGTGTGCATGCATGCCCAAGATCCCAAGAGGAGAATGGAGAAGGGATTGCAGTGTGGCCATCCCCCTGGGGGGTGATTTCTTGCTTTCTGTCTCTGTCTCTGTCTGTCTGTCTCTGGCGAGTGCACACACCCTATAGCAGAAACCTCTCCAAAAAAAAAAAAAAAGGCTGAACTAAAAGGTGCTGATGTGGGAAAGCATCTGGCTCTAACAGCTGCTTCAAAGAGTGGCAAGACTTGGTGTTTGGACGGCAAACAATTTAACACATGACCACCTCACTGACAATTTCATTCTTTCTCAAGTCCAGGTCTACAACTCCAATTTCTCTAGCTGTCACTGCTTAACTTTCAGGCCTAGAACTCTACGAAGAGTCAAAATGTTGCAGTAAAAGAATATCTAGGGATTGGTATTCTCCTTTGAGTGCATGTAAAATGCATGTGAGGGGCCAGCAGGTGGCACGGTGGTTAAGGCACTAGACACTCCCACATGGTCAACCATGGTTTGAGTCCCGGACCTGGTGGCTTGCTTTCTCATTTTCCTTCTGTGTGTCTTTCTCTGGTCAAATTAAAATAAATGAATGAATAAATAAATAATTCTTTTTAAAAAATGCATGTGAACTCCAGATACAGGCAGTGAAAGAGCAATAGGTCTAAAAGTACTTTTATTTAAAACGACCTGGCACCTTCACAAAGCATTAATCTCTCTATAAAATTCCCCACGACAAATTACTGGATTTTAAATCACAACTAATTCAGAAAAATGAAACGGGACAATACCACCCATATTATTGCATTACAATTTTCATTACAATAGCTTATTTCCTAAGATATAAAAATAACTGGAAGTCCTCTTGGGATTTTGAACATGGGTGCACACATACCCAGCGTGATTTTTAAACCATCAAGCTTGGAACGTGAACTATGGTTAGTCATGTAGGAGTTTAGTACCTTAACCACCATGCCACCTGCTGGCCCCACTATGATTTTTTAATACCAATTTCTTCAACTAGTTGAGGTAGGTATTTTGTTTATTTGGAGTATCTATTTATAGTATAGTAATAAAGAATCTGTTTAATTTTAAAGTAAATATTCACTCAAAGAGATATATTGAAAGAAACAAATATGGGGGCTGGTGGGTGGTGTGGTGGTTAAGAGCACGGTTTGAGTCCTGGATTCAGCAGCTTGCTTCCTCACTTTCCCTCTCATTCTGTCCCTCTCTGGTCAAATTAAAATAAATAAATAAAATAAATAAAGTTCAATAATTCTTTTTTTTTCTTTTTCTTTTTTTTAAGAGGTTTTTGCTATAGGGCGCGTGCGCTTGCCAGACAGACAGAGAGAGACAGAGAGACAGAAAGATTGAAAAGTGCTCAGGAAAATAACAGGGTTAACGTTGTGCAGAGAACCAGAGGGCTAAGACAAGAAAGGCTATCAGTAAAGAGGAGAAGCTGCATTCCAGACACAAGGAGCTACCCTGGGAAGGAGTCAAAAGAAAGCTCAGCAAAGTCCTGGGACCAAAGCAATTCAGGAAGGGGAATATAGGCAAATTTAGCTGCAAGACACAGTGGAGTCATATCACAAGGGGATTGGGTCTCACTCTAGGCACAGTGGGGACCAACAAAATGGTTCCAGAGAACTAGCAATGGCTCTGCTGTCCAGGAAGGCTAATGGTGGTTGGGGCACTGGACTCCCACATGGCTGACAATTCGAGTCTCAACCAGGCAGCTTGATTTCTCATTATCTCTCTCTGGTGAGCACACATGCCATATAACAAACTTAAGAATAGCAATAATAATAAGTAAAATTAAATAATTCTTAAAAAGAGCCAATCACCAAATTCCAGCAAGAGAGGAGGATGGCACTGCACAGGGCAGGGCTGGGAAGGTAAAGCTGATAGGTTCAAGAGATACATTTAGGAGGCTGAACAGTCAGGTGGCGTGGTGGCTAAGGCACTGGACTCCCATGTAGTTGACCGTGGTTTGAGTCCTGAACCCAGTGGTTTAAACTCACACCAAGTGCGTGTGCATGCATGCCCAAGATCCCAAGAGGAGAATGGAGAAGGGATTGCAGTGTGGCCATCCCCCTGGGGGGTGATTTCTTGCTTTCTGTCTCTGTCTCTGTCTGTCTGTCTCTGGCGAGTGCACACACCCTATAGCAGAAACCTCTCCAAAAAAAAAAAAAAAGGCTGAACTAAAAGGTGCTGATGTGGGAAAGCATCTGGCTCTAACAGCTGCTTCAAAGAGTGGCAAGACTTGGTGTTTGGACGGCAAACAATTTAACACATGACCACCTCACTGACAATTTCATTCTTTCTCAAGTCCAGGTCTACAACTCCAATTTCTCTAGCTGTCACTGCTTAACTTTCAGGCCTAGAACTCTACGAAGAGTCAAAATGTTGCAGTAAAAGAATATCTAGGGATTGGTATTCTCCTTTGAGTGCATGTAAAATGCATGTGAGGGGCCAGCAGGTGGCACGGTGGTTAAGGCACTAGACACTCCCACATGGTCAACCATGGTTTGAGTCCCGGACCTGGTGGCTTGCTTTCTCATTTTCCTTCTGTGTGTCTTTCTCTGGTCAAATTAAAATAAATGAATGAATAAATAAATAATTCTTTTTAAAAAATGCATGTGAACTCCAGATACAGGCAGTGAAAGAGCAATAGGTCTAAAAGTACTTTTATTTAAAACGACCTGGCACCTTCACAAAGCATTAATCTCTCTATAAAATTCCCCACGACAAATTACTGGATTTTAAATCACAACTAATTCAGAAAAATGAAACGGGACAATACCACCCATATTATTGCATTACAATTTTCATTACAATAGCTTATTTCCTAAGATATAAAAATAACTGGAAGATGATAGCAGAAAACTATCTAACTGGAATCTTCCCTTGAAACAATTCAAGTCAGCTTCTTGGGCTCATGATATTTATGATTTTGGCAAATCCATCTCTATAGACATGCTATGGCATCATATGAATGAAGATGATGTACATACTATAAAACTGTTATGGGGAATACTTAACATTCTTAACCATCTAACTCAAATGCTAAGAATCTCCCACTACTCCGTAAATGGAAATCATACACCAAGACACTGGGTGATTAAGCAAGAACCCACTTACTGCTTTCCCTAGTCTAGTAGATAAGTGACAAAACTGTAACTAAAGATGCATTCCATGGTCAGAGAAGACTATTTCTCTACTAAAGGAAATCGGGAAAGTCTAGACTTGGACAAAAGCACCCCTGCTTGTCCCCCAACTCCCTCTTCCTGGGCTTCAGCCTGGGAACAGGAAAGACACCAAGGTGCTGTCTGCTCTTCAGCTGCTTAACATTTGAACTGCTTTTGGTATCTAATATAAAGAAATGCACAATGCAATACAGTCATTGTTCCAAAGTTTTATTTTAAATTTATTGAAAGAAATAAAATTATATTTAAAAAAATAGAGTAATCTCACAAACTAAGAGAAGCCAGGAACAAAAAGAAGTTAGTACTTTTTTCCTGAGAGACAGATATAACAACTGTAGAATGGACATTTTCCTTCCTAGATTCTTGTCAAATAAAAAAAATTTTTTCCCTATTTCTAAGGCATCAAAAAGCACTCTGAGTGCTACATGGGTTGTTCAGGTACTTATGTTCCAAGCCCTCTAATGGGGATTAAGAAACATTATAAGAACTGTTAATTCTCATTCTTTTAATATCAAATAGTAAATTGTACATACTTCTACTTTTTTGTGTAAATATGAGATTCTCACACACATGACCTGAATTTCAAAAATCTGGTCATGTGCTATTAAAATCTTCCTACTTCTTAGTAAGAATGTCCAAAGTTATCTGAACTGGCCTACCAGTAACTGGGCTGCTTTGATCTCAGCATGTGTAGCCAAAAGCAGTCAGAAAGCACCCAACCAAGGAGACTCAGATGCAGCTAGAAATTTACACTAAAGCCTAATTCCTATACCAATAGATCTGTCCACTAAGGCAGACCAAACCCTAATGGTTCAGAGATAATACACAAAAACAAAAGTTACAAATATCACTTTACAATTCCCAAAGCTCTAAACTTATTCATTCCCCATACCTGGTTTCTCTCAATATTATGCTGATAAACCTATCAAGCTAAAAATGCATTCCAACCACTTCACTAAGACAGACAAAACAATGGATAGTATTTTGGTTCTGTGCATAATTGCTTGCTTGTGCTAAAGTTTTTATTTGCATAGGTAAAAGGAAAGCTTGAATCAATTTTTCCAAAAGCTCTTACCTGCTGTTCTGATTTCAAACATTGAATGATTTCCCTAAAGTTTTATCAAGATAGTTAAGTCAATTGATAGACCTGTTAATCCTAAATTCCATAAGGTTAACTATTTCTGAAAGATAACTACCAGTTCACTGGCTTAAGTAACTTACTTTATTTACTAAATTAATTAATAAGATATTAAGGGGCAGCCAGTAGACTGGTGGTTAAGGTGGCCAGATCCCAAGTGACCAATTGTGGTTTGAGTCTAGGACCTGGTGGCTTGAAAAACACACCAGGCGCACGCGTGTGTGTGTGTGTGTGTGTGTGTGTGTGTGTGTGTGCCTAAAATCCCAAGAAAAGAATGAAAAAGGGATTGTGGTGTGGCCACTCCCCCTGGGGGAATGCTTGCTTTCTTTTTCTCTCTCTGGTGAGGGCACACACCCTATAGCAAATTTAAAAAGAGAGATTAAAATGTCTTTAACACCTATTACAGGTGCTTAAAGAATCCAGTGACCCAACTGCATCTCCAATTAAGTTAATTATGTAACATCAGCTCTTCAAGAAAAAAAATTCTGTGGATATGTTCTAGTCAGTTATTCAACCTTTATAGCAGATCAATACTCCAATCAAAGTCAACTGTTGCTGGACTTAAACAGAAAATCCCTACCCTGTTTCCTGACGCTATAGGGAGTTAATACCCTCTCAGGACAGTATCTCATAGAATACGGGCCCCTGTCTTACATTCAGAAGAGCCTCAAGGCTCTGCTGAGTTGCAGGGTGCTAACTTATCTTCTCCTGCCTAAAAGAACAGCACAATCAGCATTCTGCAAACCCAAAGGTCCGATTGGAGTTACGTTCTGGTCACATTATCCCAAGTCCTAGTATAAAACAGCAAGGTGGCCAAGAAGGACCAGGTTCACATGTGAAGCCTGATAACATGAATTTTTTAATTAGATGTGACTCAGTCTCACCAGCACAGGCACAAAAACATACAAAAGCCAACAAATCTGAGCTAGAATTGTGCTTAAAAAAAGAAAAGAAAAAGAATTGACAAAAAGTCTAAACTACCAACATTGACATAACCAGACTCTAGAATTATTTTAGTGATTGCCACTAAACAAAATGTCAATATCCTGAGTTTTATCAGCATTTTCTTTCTAAAAATAATTTATGGGACATAAAAGCATACAAGTGAATAAACAAGCAGTGGTACATAAAGTCTGGGAGGATAACACACTAACTAGAAAAAGATATACCACAAAAATATAAAAAAGTGTATTTAAATGAAATAAATTAAAGGTTAAAACATCACACTTTCAAGTTTTCTTGGGAGATGGCATGGAGTTGATACATTTTTCTAATAACCATTTGATTAAGATCACATACTAAATTAATCCTTTATGAGAAATTTTTGTCTTTAAAAATCATGGCCCCCATGGCAATTATTTTGAACACAGGAGAAACTACCTGTTGGCTTAATATTCCAAATCCTAAAATACAGCCTGTAATATCAAATTGCTAAGACATTTGGTTTACTACTTTGGCTATCAAAATGGTATCCAAAAAATGCAGACTTTAGGGCCAGCTGGTGGTATGGTGGTTAAGGTGGCTGGATCCCCACATGTGGTTCAAGTCTCAGACACAGCGGCTTGGGAAGCACACCGGGCACATTGTGTGTGTGTGCACACAAAATCCCAACAGAAGAATAGAGAATGGACTGCAACGTGGCCATTCCCTTGGGGGGGGAGGTACTTTCTTACTTTCTCTCTAATCTCTCTGGCGAGCACACACCCTATGGCAAATTTAAAAAAAAAAAATTATTTACTTACATCTGCAAAATTCAAAATTTGGATACACAGTTTCTCTAAGCCACTGATTTTTTTTTTAAGGACACTAAATAAAACCAACCCAATAACCCAATGGTATCCCAAAAGTATAGTTCTAGTAAGTTTTACTATTTTTTTTAAACCTACCCACTTCCCAAATGTTGTCAATTGGCTGCACGTTACTTTTATGATGTAACAGGGATTCTTTAGCAAAATTTAAATTATACATGAAGTCCTCCAAATTACAGTCATTGGTTTCTGTAGCAGCCTTTGTAAGAACTTATAATTCACAATTTAGAACGAAGTCTCGAATTGATTAACATATTATAGATAGCATTCAACGTTTTACTCCAATTAACCATATTCATTAAAACCAAGAACCTCCTGCATGCCCAGCCAGTTTCTCATTCCTTTAGTCAATCTAAAAAAGAAGCAATTCTAGGGAAGTCAGAATTTATTAAGAACGTCAAGGTTCAGGATTCTTGTTTAAACTGTAACTTAAAAATGTTACTCTTTTGATCCCCACAAAAACCCATATCATTTAAAACCAGATATTCTAATTACATTACTAACATGTTTAGCTCAACTCTTCAGTGCTGATCCTAGAAAATAACCTCCAATGGATCTCTAAAAAATGGAACAAGACAACATTCAGCCATTGATATGAGTGGTATAGGTGGTCACACCTGTAACGTTCAAGCCACAACGTGGGAAGTCTGGAAAGAATGAGGTCTACTGTCCTGCATTATCAGAATTTGTTGTTGTATTTTCAGTGCTAATGGGTTGCACGTTGTCTGCAAGGTTGTGTGCATGCTCAAGAAACAAGTCTTTCAGTACACTCAATTCCTTAGTCAGCAATTTTATTTTTGCTTCCAACCGTTCATTCTCTTCCTTGAGCTGATTCACTCTTTGCAGTGTATCCTGTGCTTTCTGCTTACTTTTCAACCGGCTCTTTTTCACAGCCATGTTGTTCCTCTCTCTGCGCTGGCGATACTCATCACTATTTCGATCCATGGGCGAACTCTTTTTGCTTTGCTTGCTTGGAGGCACAGCTTTGCCTCCTCCCCCAGGGCCAGCAGGCACCAGCTGAGGAACTTGCTGTAAGCCGCTTGCATGTGCCTGAGTATGAATAACACTTATTCCATTCACTCCTGGAGTACTGTTTTGCTGTGATATCTTGCTCATTTGGGCACGCTCACTCGTCAAACAAAACAGGTAGAAATGAGGATAAGGTGATCAATGGGTTCCACGTTAAACTGCCAAAAAAAAAAAATCTTCACATGTACCTAGTTAAAAAAAAAATTTGTGTTAAAATATTTGAATTGACAGGATCAGTTGAGATTAAACTTGCATGCAACCTAACAGCATGCCAACATTAATTCTGATTATGCTGAGGATGTCTACAGAACTGCCAACAATTTGAATGTTTCGGAAGTGAAAATCATTTAATTTAGAAAAGCTAAGTTCGTACAGAAGCACCATTAAGACTAAACTCAGTCCACCTGAGTCCCTGAGGATACTGCCCATCTGTTATTGTTATCAAAATTGGAAGGAAAACCAAAAAATACCACTAACTAGGTAGCACATATGAACTAATAGTGCCTGACAATCTTCCAGGGAGAAATTTGAGATGTTTGAGTTAAACATGGAAAAGGTGAGTTCAATTACAGTAGAAGGAACACCTGCCACGAAAGAGGAGCAAGCTTAAATTATTGGTTCAAATCAAAATAGAATGCTGGAGCAGAGTGGCAGTCTCTGAAATTCACCAGCAATGTTGTGATCTCTGCACGTTCCTTATTCTAAGAAGCAGAGAGTGAGTCATCACAACTAACTTGGCTTTTCTCCCAGAGCATATATTCATAGGCTATTTTGAAAAGGTAGGTTTTTTTCCCCCTTGTTTTTACCTGTTAGTGACCTCAAATGATAGTAGTTTACTGAAGTTTGCTCAGTTTCTTGGGCTTAGAAGCTCTGAGACACCAATGTGCTCCCCTACCCCACTATGCTTCTCATACTGTTTCTTCCCCTTCTCTATGTAACTATAAAATATCTAAACACACTCAACCTGAAATCTCACAGAAAGACACAAGCCCTAGTGATTCACCCACAAAAGTGTTAAGTACTGAGACTTGGGCTGCCAAAGGGGCTGGGCAACTACCCTGCCTGGAGTCACCTCCCACTGCTGCATGGTTCTGAGGACATGCCAGTTCTCAACCATGACTGTAGCATGCTTGTAGAAATGAAGTCACGGTTTCAAAAACCAGTCATATCTGGATTACTATGAATCCAGCCACACCCCTACAAGCATCTGACAAATTGTAAAAATGGACCAGCCAGTGGAGGTTAAGATGGCTGGATCCCACATGGCCAACTGAGCAGTTCAAATCTTGGATTTGGTGGCTTAAAAAAACACACCAGGTGCATGCATGTGCATGCATGCCCAAAGTTCTGAAAGGAGAAAGAAATGGAGAAGGGATTGCTGCATGACCCTTTCCCATGGGGAGGAGGGGAGACTGCTTTCTTTCTTTCCCTCTGTGGTTCTCTCTAGGGAGCACAAGTGCCCTGTAGCAAACTAAAAAATAAATAAATAAAATGTTAAAGCATACCTATCCTGAGGTCAAGACATACTGACTGAGCTGAGTGTTATGTCCACCAAGATGCCAGTATGCTCTTGGAAATTTAGACGGCAGTGTTACAGACCTATAGCTCTCCTGTTCTCCTTTCAAAAATCTGCTAAAACTACATCAGTGGGAAAAAACCTGGAGTCACAATAATTAAATGAAAGCCTCAAACAAGTACATCTTAGTTATTAAGAAAAGTTTAGTAAACACCAGTAGCTTCACCTAAACCTTCACCCAGGCATTTCTGTATAAACTATTTATTGGTCTTTTTTTTTAATGAAAAAGCCCATATATCATTAATTTCAACTGTTTAAAGTCATGCAGCCTTGTGCTAATGAGCCTTCTGATTTCACTCCACTACTAAGGCAGAACAGAAACTTTTTTCTAAACCCAGAGTATCTACTCCAAGTCCATCTTCAGTAATGGGCATTTCACAATTTTCCTTGATAATTTATTGTTGCCTAATTTTTCTTCCAGTTAAAAAGTGGCTGCTCAGAATTTGAGTTACCCTTACCATTATCTAACACTATTGCTTATTAATATTTGATGTAAAGTGAATATAGTTGTTTTACTTACTTTTTTAAATGATCCCTCCAGGACAGATAGCCACCCCATAATCCCTTATCCTCCAACTCAAACCAAGGAGTTGGCCTTGTGGGATCCAGAGCCTTCGCCATCATGCTACCAGCTGGCCCTGTTTTATTCATTTTTAGTAACTTGTTGAACATCTGTCCTGAAACTGTCTTAACAATCTTGATCATATTCATCTTATTTTTCATATACCAATTATATGTTTAGTCTTTAAAACTACTCTCTACAGTTAATTTTGCCAAGCTCAGGAGAACAGACCAAAAACTAGGGCAACTGGCCCGGTTTCACTTTAGGCATGTTCCTTCCATTCTGTGGACTTAAATTTCCCCGCCTGAAAATGAGGGATGTAGAATGGTACAATGCCTTCCAATTCTGACACTATACCATGAATTTCAGTCACTAAACTCTCAGGGCTAGCCTGTGGTGTATGGGTAAAGCAGTCAGATCCCACACAGCCAACTGTTTGACTTGAGAAACATGCCAGGTACGCATGTGTGAGTGCCCAAAATTCCAAAGAAAGGGGAACAAATGAAGAAAAGACTGTATTGTGACTATTCTCTGTGGGAGGTACTTTCTTTCTCTCTCTGGCAAGCACAAGTGCCCTCTGGCAAATTAAAAAAAAGGGGAGGGGGAGCCAGCAGACTGCATGGTGGTTGACCTGCTAAACTCCCACATGGCCAACTGTGGTTCAAGCCCTGACCTATCAGCTTGAAACCCACCACAGCTGGGTGCATGTGGTGCGTACATGCCCAAAATTCAGAGAAGGCCGAAGTTCTTTTTTTTTTTGGAGAGATTTTTACTATAGGGCGCATGTGCTCGCCAGACAGACAGACATAGAGACAGAAAGCGAGAAATCACCCCCCAGAGGGGATGGTCACACCGCAATCCCTTCTCCATTCTCCTCTCGGGATCTTGGGCAGGCACGCACACGCGCCCGGCGTGAGTTTTAAGCCATCGGGTCCGGGACGCGAACCGCGGTCGACTACGTGGGAGTCCAGCAACATAGCCATTATGCTAACTGCTGGTTCCCAGAAGGTCAAGTTCTGAGAAGGGATTGTGTGGCCATGCCCCACTGGAATGTGATTTTTCATTTTCCCTCTTTATTCTTCCCCAGTAAGTACAAGCACCCTACGGCAAAAACATACAAAAAGAATGAAACAAACAAACAAACAAACTTATTCATTACAGACTCCAAATTTAGTGATGTTCATGCTTATTTCTATACCCAAAGATATACCTTGCCAAGGTCGAACCTGGTAGATGAAGAATTGAAAAGTGAGCCCTTTGGCTTGAAAAATGGGAGTATTCATTGAATCTACAAACTGGTAAAAATGTAAGAAAGAGAAACGTAGAAATTAAAAAAATAACTCTAAGAAATACAATTTTTAAAGGTTTTCAACCAGAGAAGCCAAAAAAATAGCTCTTGGAGAGATAATTAACCAGGTAAAGGGAATTACAGGGCTAAGTGGTTAAAAAAAAAAAAAGATAAAACTTCAAACAGATTATTGTTTTTACACGGAAAAAGGTATTAACACTTAGAGGAGTTTTTGCTTCCACAAACATTTACTGAGCACCAACAGTGAGCAAAAAAAGTAAGTTTATTTAAAATCTGGATATTCGACCCTTAAGGAAGTCTGGCTCCTATATGAACAAATAGAATTCCAAAGTTCAGGCTCCAGGAAGCAGTGCTGTGCCTTGCATGTGAGTCATTGAAGAAGGAAGCAGTAGGAGAGCTGAAGAGCCATAATAGTTCTCAAAGTTTAGTCCCTGGACCAGCATCATATTCATTTAGGAATGTCTTAGAAATGCAATTCTCAGGATGCTCCTGACCTTGGACTCAGCGGTTACAGGGACAGGGCTGAGCACCCTTATTTTTAGGGCATCTCCAAATGAGTCTGAAACACTAAAGTTTGAGAGTCACTATAAAGATTCTTGGGACCAGCAGTTAGTGTAATGGCTATGTCACTGGACTCCCACATAGTCGACCGCGGTTCGAGTCCCGGACCCAGTGGCTTAAACTCACGCCGTGTGTGTGTGCGTGCGTGCCCAAGATCCCAAGAGGAGAATGGAGGAGAAGGGACTGCGGCATGGCCATCCCCCCAGGGGGTGATTTCTCGCTTTCTCTCTTTCTGGCAAGCGCATGCACCCCTTATAGCAAAAACCTCTCAAAAAAAAAAAAAAAAGACGATTAATAATGGATCTTAAGAATATGGGACTAAGTATGTAACAAGTGTTTTATTGACTACCAAAGGGCTCATGTACTCGCCAGAGACAGAGACTGAGAAAGAAAGTATCCCCAAGGGGGCATGTACCCCAATCCCTTCCCCTCCATTTCTCCATCCTGTCTGGATTTGGGACACACATCTGCATGTACGTGCACACAGTGTGTTTTTCAAGACACCAGTGCCATATATGAACCACGGTTAGCCATGTAGCATCTGGTTTCTTAACCACTCAGTTATGGGGCCCACTCAGTTTTTTAAATCAAATTTTTTGTTTCAAATAATGTTCACTCAAATCAGTAACACACTGAAAGCTTGAAATGTTAGAATGAGTTTTTTAAAAATCACATTTTTCTCAAGTGAAACTTGTGAAAATAAACCTCTCAAAAATTTTCCTGTCACTTTTCTCCCACACGCCTAGAACCAGACATTGCTCCCCTTGCCCTTCAAAATAATTTTTCAGTTTCCTCAGTGAAAAATCAAAACTTTAAAATATTCATAAATATTTCTCCCCTGCCCCAAACCTGTTCATTGGGATCTGACAAGTTTACCTAAAGAAAAACAAAAAAAAAGAGAAAAATCCCAATACTACAGATATTACCACAGGATGACATCATCTCTCAGGAGTACTAGTCTGATGCAGTAGTGTTCCCTCCAACCACTGCCTCCAGAGCAATCTAGCACTCAAACCTGAGTATGTCACACCCTCCAGCTAACAATCTGTCTATGGCTCTAGCCTGCAGTATCAAAGCCAGGGTCCTAACCCACTCTCAGTCCTGCTCACTTACCCATCACACCTCAATATGGAAACGCTAGTCTTTGAAAAGGTCCATGCTTTCTCCTTGTGTTTCTGTCTAATCTGTTCCCCCAGTTTCCTTGTCAGCTCCAGCTCTCCGGTGTGTCTCCCTGTAGACTAAGCTAGGCAGGATTCTGTTCATCTTCACATGCCCAGCCATCTAATGTGGGATGAAGATGGGCACATCCCTTCAGGGAGTAGTTAAGTGATCTACTGGACAACGAGAAGAAAATGTATGTTTGTCTTTATTTTTTTGAATTGCCAGAGGGCACAGCACTCACCAGAGAGAGGGAGAGGGAGGGAGGGAGAGAGAGAGAGAGAGAGAGAGAAAGCAACACTATTCTGGGGCATGGTTATACCTCAATGCCTTTCCTCCATTTCTCCATCACATCAAGATCAGGGACACACTATGTGCATACAACCAGCGTGCTTTTCAAGCTGCTGGAGACAGAATTCAGCCTTGTGGGATCCAGATCCCTACACACAGGGGCCTGCCCTGCTTGTTTTTAATATCATTTTTCAAATCTAATTTTGATGTGATCTACACATACAAAACAAATATTATTGATTGTAAATATATACAACCTCCTTTTAGGAGTTCATACTCAGTGTATCTACTGGTATAAGAATCCATGTAAGCACCTCTTCCAAGAATACAAATAAACCTGGAATTGTGGCTGTCTATATTTCTCTTTATGGTGACCAGGTGAGATGATGTTAGACCATAAAACCAAATTCAGCCCCATGAGGCCCTATTTGTCTTTGGGGGGAGGAGGGGGAGATCAGCAGGTGCTGTTTAATTCCCCAGGTATGAATGTTCCTGGTCTAACTCTCTAAGACCAGAGAGCCTTGTTGACAGTCATGATTACTCTTGGTAATTCAAAGGATATTCTGGAAAAAAAAAAAAAAAAAACTATTTTGTTTACATCTTTTTTTAAAGTTTATTTATCCCTTCTTTGAGAGACAAACTGAGACAGAGACAGCACCCTCAACACCATCTTGATGCCACGGTCCACCCTGGCATCTGCCAGGTCCACCGCGGCATCTGCCAGCCCCAGATCGTTGGCAGGCATGTGTAGGAGGACTCTGGGAGGTCTCTGGACCAGAAAGTGGAACCTTCCTGTGTGTTTCCACCTATTTTTTTTAAACTAGGTATTAAAAATAATTGAACCAGTCAAGTGTGCTCACCAGACGCAGGAATCAAGAAACTGAAATATCCTCCAACTCTCTGGCATCCTGTAATTATTTAGCCTTGTTTACAGTTTTTCTAGAAGTAATCTCTCAACTATAGTCAGCTTATCCCTAATACTACTTAGGTGATGGAAGAAAAAAAAAAAAAACCTTTAGATGCAGAACTTCTTCATAAAGCAAACCATTACAGTAGTATTTTACTTCAAAATGTTCTTCAGGAGCCAAGTCTGCATCAAATGGCTATCTACTCAAATAAGGATTCAACTGGGCATAGACTGAGAGACAGGACTAACAATTTTTGCGTAACTCACCAACGTTAAAACCTTCCTAAAGCGGACACATTTTAAGATGTCAGATAGCAGTATAAACAAGATGAAAATCAAACCCTTAGACCTTCTGAAGAATGGAAACATACAAGCTTACTCAGGACAGACTATCCTTCCCCTCAAGAAGGCTCTTCCATCCTCCCACCTAGACAGACGTCTCTAATACTTTCCTTACTGTATTCCCTCCCACATACTAACAAAATGCTTCATTTTTTGACCTTCTCTGTCTATTTAACTGGTGGTTGTGGCGCGTTCATCTGAAACTGTTTAACAGTGAACAGCAGAACATTCACACATCTGCATGAAAAAAGCTCCATAAAAAGCAAAATACTTTCTGTAAAGTTACGTATTTAAAAACCAGCTGCTTTCCCTGGCTACTTTCATCACTCTCTAACTTCCGAAGAAAATGCCAGACCACCCCAGATCGGCCGTTCAGAGGGGCTGACGCTCAAGTCAGACACGGTCCACCTTCTATGCGGGTAACACCCTTCATCCCCAGGGGCCAATACGCTCCCGGCTTGTCACACTGCACGTTTCACACACAGAGGGCTGGGTTTCGGAGGGGGCACACCTCGTCTTCCACCCCGTCCCCGGCCGTCCGCGGAGCTCTCGGCTGGCAGCGAGGGGCGCCCAGGGAGAGCGCGGGGGTCGGCGAGCGGCGCGGCGGCGCAGGCCCGCGGCCAAGGATGAGCTCAGCGCCCCTGCCGGGTGTTGCCGGCAGGTTGCATCA